TGAAATGTCATAAAAACGATTCAGCCCCGTGATGAAAGAAATGTGAGACGGCCTTTCCTGCCTGCGACGCAAGGCCTCGAATTTCAAAAAATAGCAGACATCTTTACTTGCTTTATGGGCATATTATCAAATACATTGCTCAGCCTAATAAAAGTAGAAGTCTGGCCGCACAACAATTCAGTCTGCATACTGTTCTGAACATTTTAACTCGTGCAGGAGTCCACCGTCGAATGTAGTAACAACAACAGAAAACGTGACAAGCATACGGCGTGCTAACTAACCATTGATCGATGATCCAAGACTGGAGGCGACTGCGCAGGACTCTGTGCCCCAGTGCTAGATCGATAAATCGATTGGCTGAGTTCTCCTTCGCGGCTTGGACCCTAATCAATGATCACCTTGTTTTGTTTGCGGTGTGGGCTATTATATTGGTGGCTGTGACGTTTCTGATGCCCAGCCAGTCTTCTTCTTTTCCTATGCCCACACCTTGAACTCGGAATTTCGCCTACATTGAGCAGTGCTTAACACCTGCCTGCATTGTTTTGAATATAAAGCCGAGAGCTTTGTTTAAGTTCACTAATAGGAGATTTTTACTTTTAGTTCTCTACAAGTATGATCAGCTGGTGATATTTCCCTACCGCGCGAAGCTTAAGAAGCATAACAAAGAAGAATACACCTGTGTGCTAAACGGCACAGAAACGCAGACGAAAGTCATAAGGAAAACAGGTTTGTATTTTCACAAACAGGGCACAGTTTTTGGTTTGGTGTACTATGTGAATATCAGTTTTAAAACATGTGAAAACGCAGTTATGCGTATCATGCGTCGTGCGTTGTTTAACAACAAGTATATGTTCCAATGGATGCAAAGATAATATAAGTAAAGGCGAAACTGTGGATATAGTAATCAAAGAAGGATGAATAAAGACGTCTTTGCAGTTCATTAATCTTAAGTGTTAATTATCACATTTAAAAGTTTTTAATTTTACAATGAAACTTTCATTCTAGCTCTCCAGTCGTCATGACAATTAAGAACGCAGCAGTCGAAAATAGGAAAGCGTTATTACCGACCTATAGCCGCACACGACACCGGACGGATATAATCTTGCCAAATAATTAGTTCTAGATATAAAAAATAATTGTATCTAAGTGAGTATTAGCCATGCGCTGGTAGGTCTGCGTGAAAAGTATTACATAACCCTTACAGAATTAAATTATTATTGTTGTTTCTATTTCTTACAGTTTCCTTGGAATTTTAAACTTGGACAGTCCCGTGTTATTGCCAGCGATTTTGCAAATGTGGTCAGGGATCCAGACATATTTGAATTTATAGCACGGTGCAAATCGCGTTTTCCTGTTAGACATATTAATTTGGGCAGGGTTAAAAATAAAACGGTGTAGTGTTTCTTTTCCTTGCTAAAACGTTTTTTGCAGCATAAAATTTTGTTACTGTCTTCTTTACTTCCAAAACCTTTAAAGAGGAATTTTTGAATCAAAATTTTAATCGTATTCGATCGCTTTCATTTAACACAACACCACGGATATCATATATTTTGACAGTTGCATAGCCAGACTGACAGGCGCCAGATACAGCCAATAAAAGGCATAATTTAATCGGTTGCTTCATTGATCGACAGATATATTAATGTTAGATATCAAGTTAACGTTTTTCCTTGTTGTCAACATGGATTTGCTTGTTATTTATCACAGCTGAACTGAGAAACAGGTGTATTTGACAACGGTGCTGTTATTATGGTATAACTTTGCCCAAACTTATACTGCTGGCTACCTACCTGCCTTCAATGACTATTACGCAATTACCCTCTGTAAACTTGGTCTGTACCTATAAACCTAGAATATTCTAATCTATTTCAAGTTTGCAGTTAATTTCTGAGGAACTTAAGGTCAGACGCAGTTATATAGCCCCACCTAAAGCAAACAAGCTCCAACCAACTATAATACGGTACCGGTGCTAAAAGGAGTTTTTAGAGGTGGGGCGGGAGAACGCACAGGCGACGATTTTAAGTAGTTAAATGCAAAAGAAAAGTTAATCGGAATGCTTGGCTGTACTTTGGGTGATTGCGAAATAGTTGCCCTAACCCCTAACCCTTAATCCTAACACCAGCCCCAATAGTTTTGTGTCCATAAGGTGGGGCTTCATAACTACATCTCGCTGAAGTTAAAAGGCAACAAGTAATTGAAACTCCCAGCATAAAGAAAATATTAAGATATAGTGCCAATAAAACTGCCGAACTAGATTCATTTTAGTCGGACATACACAGCATACGGTTACGTATGCTATCAAACTGGCTAGCTAGGATGCTGTAATTTCATTGGCTCACGTGACATCCACTAAAACTTCTATGGATTAAAACATATTTTATAGGACGTTTTTCCCACAGTTAGAATGTACGGACGCCCGTCTTTGTTAAATTTACATTTAAAGAGGAATTTTTGCTCCATAGAATGTTTTACTGAAAGTGTACTCAAGCAAAAAATCTTAACCAATATTCTGAATGCGTTTTCGAGTCGAAAAGATTACTTAACCAGCAGAAATGGTTCAAGCAGGAACCCGAAACGTCAGGCTAATAAAGCTCTTGTCTTAGCGGTCGTGTCTCCTCTATCACGACTGCTTCCTGGAACTCGGCTCTTCGCTTATATTAGATTGAAGAGTGGCAATACTAAAAAGAGCCATATAACAAGCGCTGCTCATCTCGGGTTTAGAGAGAAATAAATTTTACGAAAAGGGATTGTTTGTTTAAACTCGACGCACAGAAACGTGAAACCCCCCTGTTACAGGTGGATTTGAGCTAAATGTTCGGAGGAGGAGAAGGACAAGGGTTGGGCTTTAGTTAGGCTTGCTGTCAAGAATAAGGGGCAGTGTGAGGATTGGGACACGGGAATATTTACCTTTCCTGAGACCAAACGCAAAGCCACCTGCGATTTCTACGTCGTCGCGGCGTTCCTATCATCATATGCAGTTTGGGGGTTCGTATTAATGATTTCTATTCAAAAATGGTCAAGGTAACGTTATGATTACTCTTTCTGTCCTGTTAGTGGTAGGATTAAGGTTACTGTTACGTTTAATGTAAGAAAACGGACATGTTCACCTTACGGGAATTTGGCACAAGACCACCCGCTGTGCATGAAGGGGACGCCCCTATTCTCGTGTTTTGCCTCGGTGACCATAAAAAAGATCCCACTGACTTAGTGGAATAACGTAAATAATCACGATGCAGGATAAGCCGTCTTTGCATCAAATTGTATCTCGGAAGATGTCTTTACAGACGTCAGAAAAATAATATGTCTTTGTTCGAATAATGAAAAAAGGGGATTTTAAGTCGTGCTTAGAGACTACACGTAGAAGCAAGACAATTCGATCTTCGTGAAGGATGACGTCCACCGTGTGACTCACAGCAGCGCGGGAGCAGGGTTGGTGACTTGCGCCTAGGTCAGTTAAAAGTGATTGTGAATTTAAGCAGCATCTACCGCGCTCTCCCCTCCTCCTCCTATACCCGGCCACAGTGTCAAGACAGAGTCAAGAAGACCGAAGACGGGAGAGGGCACAGGTAGTTAGCGCGGCCGAACCCGCGCTTAGGCGTACCGCCACATCCCCTGGTTCACAGCATATGCTGACTAGGATTTTATATCATAAAATAATGTGTGGCTGCACGAATTCCATTTGGCTGGAAGTAGACCTACAAGTGCGCATTCGTTATGAGTTAGAATTCCCAAAACGCCTACCGGACCCCGATCTGCCTCATGTGTTGGCCCAAAGCAACTACCGCGTGGGCAGTTTTAGTGTCCAACCCAATGACCAAATAACCATCACGTACACGGGATCTTCCTTACGAGTCAAGGTGAAACTTGACCGACTTCTGCATTAATAATAACAACAAAGAGTACACCTCGCATCAGATGATATATTCGCTAACATTGGAGGATATTCATTAGGCATTTGTTTACGTACTCTTCATAGACGAAAGAAAGGCATAAGTAGCTACAAAACTAACACTTTTTTCGAATTTAACCTTATTTTGTTCAAAACGTTGGCTCATATAAGCCAGAGTCAACTAAATGAATTTGTTTCAAGTAGCACTAAGATATATGGATAATGGATGGCTATCAAATTAAAGGATACGTCTGCCCATGTGCTACCCTGTAGGCTTTCGGACACGCCAAGTCGGCAGATATAGGCGGTATAAACTCATGAAATTCAACCTCGGAAAATATGAATGAATGAAATGAATGTTCAAGTTTACACCGTTACTTTAATTTGATTGGCGATTTGGCGTTTCCCATTTGCTTAAAAATTACTATGCAACCTTCCTGCACTCTGTTAGAAGGAAACCATCCACAACCTTGTATCCGTATTCTGGTTGTAGCTAATAGCTCAGTCGTGAGTCTCTCCTGCTCTACAATCTGCGCTGCTGTACCCTTTATTTCATTATGTCACAAAGAGTATGGCTCACTATACTTTCAAACCATATCTGCGGCTACCTGCGTAAAAAAATGTTAAACGAACATAAAGTCACACATACTCTGTGCCGCACTCCGATGAAACCGAGCCAAGTTAATCTCTAGATGCTAAATATTTTCATTTGCAATTGACAGCGGCAGGGGCTCGTTTTTTTACATTTTTGATTAACAGCCGGCGCGGGTTTAAATAGCAGGTCCCTAGATCTTAAGACTCTTGCGACCGGCCATTGATGATTAAGAGGCCCGATACGCTCACCTTCGAATTGCCTTAGTTTTAGCAAAACTCCCTTTGCTTCCTATTCCGCCTTAAGTCAGCAACACGTGTTCGACTTGGATGCAAAGTATGAACATCGCAATATGCTGCATGCTGCTGTTACAATTTGAACAACCTTTCGTAGATAGAAAACCAAAATCTCTCGCCGGCCGTAAAGAAACCATTTTATATTTCCAGTGTTATTCAGCATAGACAGATCGGTAGCTTTCTTCAGAAGAACAAGAAAATCCACATATTTTTAGTTGCACGCTTAAAGCTCTGAAGAACGGCTGTCAATGATGTCGGTGTGTCCTTTCACTGTGAGGGAAATAGTTGTCTAAAAAGAGTGGAAAACAAAAGGTTATCCTAACTCATACGTAGCATTGACGGTGTTGGAGCACTTAATTCGTGCGGGGTCATCGTATCATCTGTCGCTTGCAAACATGGAGGATGCTTTACGGGAAGCTTACATGCTAGTTGCGAATATGACTTTATTATTCGGTTAAAACGAGAGATTTGTCTTGTCCAAACTTTTAAATATGTCTTTGAATGTGAACGACAGGTTTAACGTTAAAGAAAAGCATCCTAAAACAAAAGTCGTATGTGCCCAAATATACTCTAAAATATCGTGCCTCATGGATAAAACAGAATGGGAAAAGGACTGCATAATTGACATAATGCTCATTTAAAGCACAAATATGGGCGAGGCTTGGCTCCGTAGCTGCACTTTATTGATACCGTGTGGTTAGCTTTCCAAAAAATTTTTAGTATATGCGAGTATGCTGACCTTACAAATATCACATGTTTGCGCCCTCCTTACCATTTTAAGCCGACAAATAACTTTGCCACAAACGGTGGTGCGCTTATACGCCATCCTCCTTTACATCAGTTAATCAGTCATATGCGCTTCTCTGTCAGAGCTTCAAGCCCAGCCTGCGCCTTCTTTATTATCTTAATCCAGTTGGTGGCTAAGTGGGCTTGCTAATGGCATTGTTCGAACGGGATAGAACTCTGTCAGTTCCACTAGAGTGGTCATACATTGGGAATTAACACGCGGTTCCCTCTAAGGCTTTTCACTTGTGATTGCGCCCTCCTTACCCTACTATTCCAGCGAGTGGCTGTGTCGGAAGAGGGGAATGTGTACACGCCACCTTCACGCGCTTCCCTGCAGTGCGCTCCGAGCTCTGCTTACGCCCTCTTTCCCTTCCTGATTCAACGAATAACTAAGTTAGGTATGTTAAATAATACTATTTATTAAGCTAAACATATGGTATCAATCAAGTGGGGCTCCAGCACCAAACCTCCGCCATATATGTTTTAAATATCGAAATATTCTCAGACAGGGTGATAATACCCCATCTTTTCGATCCACTGGCACTAAGTAACGGTGAGTAAAAACGACGAAAAGTTATTTAGAAGACTATACAATTCCCATTAATTCCGCAAAGGTTTGACTGCTAATCAAGTTTAGTCAGAAAAAGACAGAGGAAAATAAAAATATCGCCTTTTGCGCAAAGTTATCGCAGTAACGTCAAATATACAGCAGATGTGTCAATTTATAAAATGTTGGCCGAAATTTTAAATATATATTCATCTCGGATAGATGACTTAAGTAGGGCTATAATATTAATCACCAAGCAGCACAATCTTAAAATAATGCGGTTACCTCATGATAGCAAAGCTCAAAAGAACTTCGTTTAGACGGCCTGAAAATACTTTACTTCGTGAAAAATGTTAATTTTAAAAGCACGACCTTTATCGATTCTCGATGCTCTCGTATATTCGGACATATTTCATAAAGAACATGCATAAAAATACTATCTCCTTTACTCAGTGAGAAGGGGATTACGTATTTTTCATAATTTATACTTGGACTTGCAGACTTTGTTCAACCACCAAACGATTCAAGTCGGAAGAAGAAATAGGAAAATCAAAAATATCGCCTTTTCGTGATGATACGTATTTCATGTCGTTTATAATTTCGGATAAACCCAAAAATTTCAGATCGTTGGTATCTGTACTTAACAATTGACGGGAAATTAACCTGCTCCCATGCGTATTTGCTGCCCTGGTAAAGACCGCTCTGATTGGCATCGAATGTTTGTTGAATTTCTCACCCGAAACGGTTCATCGACTGTGAGTAATTTGAATTACCACATTTTCGACTCGTTATCTACAACTTCAATGAAATCTAACTCAAATGCCATATGGGTTTGTCGAATGAATTGTGAAATACGTCGGAACAACATTACCTGGTACCTAAAACAACTGTCTATCAAATTGCTCTGAAATTCTTATGGTAATCCAGCCATGGGAATGACTGTTATTTTTGCTCATTTAAGTACAATTGTCAAACGATGAAGTAAGGCTGTTTAAATCGAACGAGTAACGAGAACGAAAAATTACCTCATTTTTGACTCGCAAAACAGGGTTACTGGAGTATGAAAGATCCTCTTGAAAGACAGTTATAATCATAGTGCACAAACACGAAAGGCCACGCTAATGAAACATATTGTGATTGTTTTCTTAATACTTTTTGCGAAACGCTGAATTCACGGTAATGAGAAAACATGTGTCCTGGAACGGACGTAAACCGCCAACCTCTACCACATCGTCATAGGCACTTCATGGATTAACGTTTTATGGACAGATAAGATGGAAAGGCTTTTAACAGCAATACCGGCAGGCGTCAGTTCATATTTTTTCCAGGCCATGCGTCTGCTGGGTTGCTATTCTAATAATATAATTTTTCAAGTCTCACAAGCATGCTGTCTCAAGAGTTGGCATTATGGTTTTAGAATGCTGACTTCGGAGCGCGTCGTCTTAAGTTGTGTTAACTAATCAGACAAGCACGCTAAGATGGTGCACGTGACATATTTCAATTCAAGACATTTGGTACTAAGAGGGGGGGGCGATGACAACGCGACGATCAATACAGGAGGGTTTAAATAATGACCTGTGATGGCGGGCTTAGGACTGAGTCAACTAAAACTAAGTGGAAATGTTTACCGGCTAACTCGAGGTGCAACAACGAGGTTCATTTGTTGCACACAGTATTCTGCTGCACTGTGGGCACAGATAAGAGAAGATAGAGCTGGTACTGCCTTCAGCTCTCTGTAAATCTGCGTCATTTAAAAATCTTCCGTCTTAGATAACGCAAAGACTTCCTCATTTTAGTGCCCTACATTGATTGTGATTGCCAAAACCATGTCGGCGTTGAAACAATAATATTCCTAGTCACCCAGTTCCATGCAGAAGCGCATTTCTGCAAATGGTCGTTTGGAGGTTTTTATTTAGCTCAGATAGGTCTTGTCACAATGTGTTTTAGTCAATCACTGAACATGGATGCTTACATTACTTTCATCGGAGGCATATGACATCTCTTCGATTGCTGAGATTGACGAATACACAAAGCCTTCGGATAATCAATCTGATCAGTAGACTATGTCCGAAACATTGTAATTCATAAGAGAAATGGGAACCGCTTACCATCCCAAATGACCGATTTCCTGCTTTTCCGAAACATTGTAATTCATAAGAGAAATGGGAACCGCTTACCATCCCAAATGACCGATTTCCTGCTTTTGTATTTGTCGTTGAGAACACACTGTAAAGATTCCAATTTTGCTGCAGTATGTTCCAATTTGTGTGTGTAGATGGCGACGTCGTCAAAACTTTAGAGATCTTCAAGAGAACAGTATATAAAAAGACAAATGAGAGTTTTCAAGGCTGTGGACGTGCTCATTTTGCCTAGAAAATACGAATACATCCCTGCTGTTGAAGCGTTAATTTACGCCTCAATGGGCTTCTGTAATTAGGTTGATATTTGTAGTGTTAATAATTGCAATGATGAACTGTAAGGAGCATTTGTCTTACTGTATGCGAATACAAATAACTTTAGCTATTTCTCTAATGCCTTCGATATATGGACTGCGTTTAGGCGCAAAAAAATTATAAGTTCGCTTTAATTTTAAAGGACATTATTAGAATAACGGTTTACGCATATCGTGTTTCGGCAGGCTAAGTTTGTTTAACGCTATACTTATTCGGGTGATATTTTTTGTGAACCATTTGAAAGAAATTGTAAGACATTTCGGTTCAATAATAAACTGAAAGTTATTGCTCTTGATACGGACTTACGGCATTTGTTTTCGCTGTCATTCAGAGAGCAAAGGATGCCCTGATCATCTTCACAGTAGAACTATATGGGTTGCAAAAACGTGAATGAAATAGCCTTCATAATGATATTTTTGAGACAATTTCGTTGTTACATATGCAGTCCTACATCCCATCCTACAAACAGCCCAATATCTTATTTACTCTTCTTGCCTCAATGCCTCCCTACTGATTATCAACGAAAATGCACCATGGTCGGACATTCAACGAGTAGCTGGCATTCCATTTTAAACGTCGGTTGTTTGCCTTAATTCAAGGAGTCTTAATTTTTCCACCCAGTCAGGAATCTGTTTATTCAGGAAGCGTGTAAAAATGGGAGAAAAGTATGTGAGGAGCGGTGTTTTTGATGGTCTAGAAGTTGGAAGTTGATTTTGCCTAAGTACCCCTCAATGATTTTCATTTAAACTCACATTTGAAATCTTGTAGTTACTTGTGTCGATGATCCAGTAGAGTATTGCATACTGCCGAGTTCTGATTTTGTCAAAATCATGGTAGATAAAACGATCTAAAACGGCATTTGGAAACTCGGTATTATCCACGTTCATGAAACCATTTGTGGACTTTATAACAAACGCCAGAATACTATTTAATCGGAATCTAATACAATGAATGGATGTAAGACAGAAAATTGGAAAGCTATACAGACATATTTGGAGACATAAGCATTGCAATTGGTTGCAATATCGCAGGTTATCTGCGAGCGATTCTCAAATCCCAAGACCCAATTTAGTCGACCATGCAGTCCTTTTGCGACACTATTAACGTGCCCGCTTTGCCATACAGGGGCCTAATTGGGCTATACACTCTCAGGTTCAGGCTTTAAGGAAAACAGTCATCCTCGTCCTTTACATAAAATTGATCATTCGAGGACCCAACATCTGCCTTATAATGTTTGGGATTGCAAAAGTTTCAGCAATACGAATACTACTCATTTATTTCATTTATCTTGGTTGTAAGAGAGTTTTGCCTGAATGAAGTCCTCTCTGGAGGTGGTTACTGTGCAAGTGCAGAATATGTGCTGAGCTCTCCTCTCACTGGGAATAATGCTTCTCCGTATTCTGGTTCTGTCTAAAGCATATCAGGTAATCCGAATATCCTGGATGGATAACAAGCGGAAGAATAGACGTTTGGACATTTGGGTAAAGAGAGGTCCTGGCGTTAGCAAAAGTATCACGCGGAATAAAGTAAATAAATTTTAAGTTTCACCTTCAGACATTGCGATGGCTGATTCTAAAATAAATAGGCATTTTCATTAAAAAACTATTCCAGGCAATTGTAAAATGACATTTTTTAGATATCGAAAGGGTATCTATGACATTATCTCAATTCGGTACGGAAAAAGACAGCCTATGATTACAAAAAAGGAATTAATAATTTTTGTTTCGCCTCCTTATCGATGGAACAAATATGCAACTTGTTTGACCAACAACAGTTAATTAATTTGCAAAGGATAACGACAATTTTTGGCACATGATTACAAATTCATAAAGCGTACCGGGCATTGGCAGAACAAATTCTAAAAATTGGACATAAAATTTTGATAAACCCCCATATGTACTTCTCAAGGTTGGGTTAGCAAAATTCAGTTGGTGGTGAACATTAGGGAGAGTTTGTGTCGTTGGCAGAGCATTTTTTGAAACAAAATCTATACGGAAGTGTTTCATTAATTAGATCTGCTGTAGCATAAAAAACATCATTTTATTCACGAATAGGTAAATAGGTTTATACTGAATACGCATTCATTACGGTGGCAAACAAGAAGCGTTGCTGTACTACCTGTCATATTCCTCATATTGTCACAGGGACCATAGTACTCCGCCATCGTCTGTTTCTTTTAGAAAAATTTGAAAATGTCATTTTTTCGGTAAAGAAAGCTTTAGTGTATATACTAACTATTGGAGTTTCTTATTAGTAACGAAATACTCCCACATTTGATAACTATTGATCATAAATTGGCAGTCAAAGCCTGGCATTTGGTGGAGTCTGGGCGACGGTTTAGACAAAAATGTTTTAAGAAGTGCAGAAATAACACAAAATAACTTAGTACTTAGACTACTTACCCGTCTAATTAGACGTCAATTGCAATGACGTCCGGTAGAATTTTCTACAATGCAAGAATAGGAAAACAAACAGTGTATTTCTGTCCGATATGTCAATGTATCTTTAATGGCCGTGTCGTTGTGTGTTGCCAGTGGACGATAATTCGAGCACTCACGAGATGGATTCACATTTAAGGCAATTAGAGGTCAAACACTGGTGATGAGAATTCATAGTAGCCGCATATCTCATGTTAAACGAAGTTCTGAAGTATCTTTGATTTGACGGGAATACTTAAGTGGGATCGCAATAGTAATTTTCGCAGCGCACAATCCCAATATACTTCGGTCACAACAGGGTGACGACCTTGAAACGAGACGCCTCTCGGCCGCTTGAAGATCGGCACGCCAGAAAACGATCATTTTTTGGTATGCCTTTTCCCAAATAGGTCCAAATATTTTTATAAATTCAGACAGTACCATAATAAACCCTTACAAAACTACCCAATATTGGACAGGTTGAAGGCGAATTAGGTCGTACTAAAATTCTAATCTCGAGAAAATGTTAAATTTTGGCTTAAAAAACCTTAAGTTTGTATCTATAGAGCATCGTACCTATACGTTTATTAATGCTGCCTTTAAAGTATATAATATAGTTTACCCGCATTGTAATGTTTTATCAAATTTAAATCTTGCCTTCTTAGTAGCTTAAAGGAATACGTGAGTTTTTGTGTAAAGTTAGCAGTTTGAGGATTAGGAGTTTGTCGCCGATAAGAAAGAGTTACTTAGGCGAGGACGCAATGCGAATTTTCATTTGGCATAATCTCATGATATTTTAACCACCCCAGGATGATGGCAGTTTAATGAGTCATTTACAAAACCCGTAATCCATAAAATGGCCCACATGGACTTTGCATACTTAAAATACTTTTTACTTGTTATCGTAAATTCAAACATTTTCTACAGAAAATACGCACAGAAATTCCCTCTACCGAATATGTATTGTATCAAAACCGGACTTCATAAAAAATTATGCTAAAGGAAATTAAAATTTGTGGTTTTTTAAAAGTATGTCACTATACATTTCGAAACCCTAAATGTTCAAACAAAAGGCCTTTTAACTGTGCATTAATTATTGCTGCTGAAAAAGTACACAACACAGCCTGCTAACACTGGACAGTTTGCACACTCCACGTGGTATCTCCTTAATAGCTAGGGACTGAAAAACATAGTCGGAAAGTGCAAAATCAAGTCAACCCTAAGATTATTCTGCGACTAAATATGATTTCCAAACGGAAAATGGGTTCCCCTAAAGACAATCATTGTATATGACAAAGTTTTCTACTGAGAACATGGCGAAATTTATAATTTCGTCAAAGGTTTACGTGAAAAATCCATTCTGTATAAGAAACTATTGTAACCGCGTACGGTATTTGCAGGCGGCCGCAATATCTTACTCGAATGCCGTCATCTTAAAGTGACTAAAATAACTTCAGATTATTTCGCATTTTAATCAATAGTGAATTTTCGCCTATATGGTTCTTTCTTATCTACGTACCATTTGAAAAATACAAGGGACATTTCATCAAGAAGCCAGCTACTGTATTGATTTAAGTCATTTGTTAATTTAACCCTTATTGGCTCACCTGCATCGTGGCCCTCGGCTGTTTCCAAAGTAAAAGCACCTGGAAAGGGAATATTTGATCTTAAACCAGACCCACATTTTCAGAAAGATGACTTATCTTGAAACATTACAAAAAATAAACTACTTACGCGTGTGATGCAAATTGTCGGGGAATATTTCGACACCTTCTTCCTTGTCCAACGAGCTCGAGTCAATGTCTAGTTCTGACAAAATAATTAAACGGACTATTACGATAAAGGCTTTTCTATGATTACGCAAAATAAGGACGCCTACTAGCCGTGCACTGCGCAGTGATCTTCAAGTATGGGAGGCGAAAGTTAACACTGTGTTCCTGTTTGTGGAACGGATACGATTTCGGTGACTTTGTATCGCCAGAGGATTGCATTCTTCGGCGTTTAGCATCCGAAATTTATAAAGCCGATCTACAACAACTTGTGCGCTATCAAGATGAACTGTTTGACTTATGTTTTAAGGACTCACGAGTAAAAGCGTCTTCCCGTGTCGTAGTAAATAATGCATAGTATTGATCATTAATAGTCATGAACGACGTTAATGATATGGTTTTGAGGTGGAATTAGCATTACGTCTGCCTTTTAATAATGCAACACTTAGCGGCTCACCCAAATCGTGGTAGTAAGCATTGGAAGGGCTTAGAGAAGAGACATGTAGCAATAATATGGACTTGATTCGTTTAGAGAGTGACGATATATATTGGAAGCTAGTTGTGAAAAACTGATTACTGACCGGTTGGATGCAGATGGTTAGAAAATGGTTCTGCGACGTCCTCTTCATTTAACTGGCACAAATCGCTGTCTACTTCTCATTAAAAAATAAACAAAAAATGTCACAGTTACTTTGCCTTATTTACACAAAATATGTTTTGATGACTTAAAATCTGGCGATTTCAGTACAAGACCATGCAGTTGTAGTAGATAAATGTGGAATTAGCGCCTTATTTATGCACATTAAGAATATTTAATGATTTTTTTCACCCAATATGCTATAATTACCTTTTCTAGCGAGACGCTTTGCAGTGATCTTAGGATGTGCGGTCCACATTTGGTTAATTACTCGCAGAAACAAATTTGCACCGAATATATTTAAGTTAAATACCTAGCCCGAACTCCCGATTCACACCAGTCAGCCACTCCTATTTGTTTCAAATTATCCACAGAAAAATGGAGCATTTAATCCGTCCTTTTTCCCGGAGTTCTCTAAATTGTTTTTGTTTTTGACAAAGGCGTATTCTAACTTGACGGTTAAACATGAGAAAATAAGCAATCGAATGCGGTAGGCGCACCTAGAAGAATGGGGATTTTTAATATTAAGCGCGAAGTTGTTTGTCGAAAAAACAAACTTCTTATTCTGCCACTGATGTCGACACGTTTTTAAGAAGCGTTGGTGTTGGGCAGCCCTTTTCGGCCATTTAATTTATTTTTACCTAGCGGTGTGCCATAATCAAACAACCAGTCGCAAATTGATTCTTGCAGTATGTAGGGCCCCAAAATGTCTTGTTTTATTCCAGTCATTTTTCAGGAGAGTCTAGATTGTAGTTGCTCCATTGTATAGCAGCCAGTACACCAGATCCCTGCGATACATCCATCCCGTACATTGTCCGCACTACCTAAGACGATGTGCCCCAAAACAGACCTTTGATGGAAGAGTGAATTTAATCTATTGCTGCATTTTTGGAATGCCATCGACTTCCAATAGCAAACCCAGTGCGCACTACAGGCAGAAACAATAATCTGCAATTAGATCAGATCTATACTCACGCTTAACCGTTAGGATGATATTCATTGCAGCACACGGGTGGCATAACAAAAGTGCTTAGGCACCAATCAGGGCAATCAAACTAACATGCAGGCCATTTCAATCATTTTTCCTGAAAAGGGACCACTTGGTATCCCATACGATCCGGCCACCGCAAAATGTCAGGCCTTTAAGACTGATTCCCATGAACCAGTTCGTTCTGCTATCATCCTCAGTCCTCACCCAACGATCTGCGCAAGTCGATTGGTTTAAATAGTATTTCCTAAATTACGGAAACTCAGTCACATTTATTAACACACAGCAGCCTTAATTAGCGATGTAGATGATTAACCCGGATTCATATGTTGCTGATCAAGCCGATTGTGAATATAATCTCAAAACCAATCGTCATTGCTCTAACCAGCCCCATTCTCGTTCCTTACACCTTGCTATTGGCTCTGCCTTCGTCATTTTATAGCATACGAAAGTAAAAACAGGTGTTGTTTGGGCAAACTGGTGCGCCGACACCTACCATTCCAATAAATTGTCTGTGAATGAGAGGTTCCGCCGTTTATCTTGCAGACAAAATTATCCACCAAGTTCTTCATTTTCTGCGCCTTGATGGTGATTTCGGAAACCTGGCCGTGTTTGGTGTAGTCTGAAGATAATAGAAAGGTGAAAACGCGAACACTTCAAAATCAAAAGACATTTCTGCAAATCTCAAAACTAAATGTGGCGGAAAAATCCCCATTTGCACGACCAGTGATACGCTAATCCTTCATTCTGCATAAGAACGTTCATATTGGTATTAGGGGAAGATTAAAACGGTGGATTAGCTTGATATTTCATGCGCAGTAGATAGACTACCTAAGCTCTCTTCATTTTTTCTATTCAAGTCAATATATTGTAGTCACTTTCAGCGATCTGCAATATATGACTAAGTAGCCTCAGTTTCATAAATATCTTAAGAGAATTGCGGAGTAATTTTTGGATGTTCGAATAAAGTTAAAATGCATAATTCGGCTTTATATCATTGATCGAATGTGCACCGTAAAACATTTTACCAAAAACCCTCAACCCTTTATCTTACTTCCTGGTCCTATTTGAAGTATCCGGATTGTTTGAAAGCTTATATGAAATTGTTTTGGAGCACAGTAATTTAAGTAACATCTGTCATAAATATTTTTTTGTTTTATTTTCGGAGCAGATGGGAAAGTTTGAAGTTAGTGAAATTCTTTTCGGTTATGATGACTTTTTCATGGGTGTTTTGGCTGATTTTTGAAAAACTCATATTGAACCAACTGTGAAGGACTCAGCGCCTCGGTAAGATTCGAATCCACGAGAGTAAGGGGAATGCCTTAGTTGTGTAATCAATTTGACCCAAATGTG